TCAACAGATCGCTAAGTCAATATTTTCACTTATGTTTGTCATACATATACTTTGCAAATCACCATGTTGGTCATAACCAAAAATGAACATAAAGTCTTGAATAAAATTCTAAATGTTGGACAGACAATTGAAATCACAAGGTTGAATGAAATTAATTGGTCGAATGCGATGCCTCGAATAATCTTCATCACTGCTGCTGTTGAATTTGCTGGGGAAGTGAGGGATTTGAAGAGGAATTATCATAGTGATTTGAACAGCACTATTAATCATGTTGTTAGTAAAGAATTCTCTAACAGCTTTGCCCACAAACCTAAAGGGTGCAACAACAAATACGACCAATTTGTTCTTTGATTTGCTTTTCATTTTTTTTAGGCTGAGGAGTTAATATATTGAAATGATTAGAAGCTTTGTGTGTTGGTAGAGTTGAAGATGGAGGTATTTATAAGTGTGTGAGGATCGATGAATTTAATGTTAGTAGTTACTCCTTTCGTTCTTTTTATTTGTGATGGTTTCCTTTTTTATAGTCAAATTATAAGACTTTTGACTTACATTTTATAATGTATTTTTTCATCATATTGATATGTAAAATATTGCAATTTATACTACTTTTCGTATAGTTTTTGAATATCTAAATTTTTTGTTTAAAATATCAAATTAATTTTGAAAATTAATCAAATTGTCTTTTGAAAAAGACAATAATGACAATTAAAAAGAATGGAAAGAGTAATTAATTATGTTGACTCCATAAAAATTCATTATACCAATGTATATATATATATATATATATATATAAATAAAATAGCGTTTACACTACTAGCATAATTTGATTAGCTATGACAAATGACGTACCTGCTTATTATAAAGAGCTATGGATCTACAACTTTTTAAGTGAGTGGATTGGTAAACATTTTTTATAATGTTTATCAATAAAGCCCAATACTTTAAAGTTAATATATATATATATTATACTAGTAAAAAGTAATGCAATAAATATATAGTTGAACGATTATAGCTTGTAGGTTTAGTTATATCTTTTCTAATTGTCAACAAAAAACTTTCTACCAAAATTGTCTTATAGTAATATAACTTAATTCTCAAAAGTGCAGTTGTTATAAGTATAATGATAATGTATTATATCAAATAATTTGAAAACGAGTTGACATATATCATTTCAGAAACAAACGGCAAAAATTTATACTCATTTGATATTTACATTGAATTAATGAATATAAGAGTTAATATTTAAGTGATACACTATGTTTTTATGTTAATTTTTGTTGATTCTTACGATGAATCATTTACCAACAGAATATAGCCTCCCCATCTTTCTTTTCTGTTTCCATTATTCTTCTTAATTTATTCAACTGTTCTGAAAAAACAAAGTGTTTTTCTTTTTTTAATAATCTATCAAGGATGTAGTTTACTATATCCAGCTTGTGATAGCCGGACAAAATATTCTTACTATATGTCATAATTTTTTAAAATATTCCTATTTCGGATAGAGTAAAAATTATCATATTTGTAATTAAAATGTTAATATTATAAATAAAAGAACTAAAATTATATTAAATAAATTAGGAAAAATTGTACATAATGGCAAACTATTAATTCAAATTAAATGGTATAATCACATTTTGATTTAATTGTGTCATGTAGCAAACTGTTTGCCAGCGCCTCTCTCCCTCAAACTCTCGCTCGCCACTCTCCTCTCTCGCTCACTCCCTTTGTGCTTGCCTCTCTCGCTTTATACAACAAAATTGTATAAATTGTGTTTCTGTTTGTATAAAGCAAGAGAAAATTATATATACACATGCAAATACATATATATTCGTCCTATACACTTATAATTATACAATTAAAATATTCCCCTACCCAGTTCTCTTTTGTCTTTCTCTCTTTCTCGTTTTATACAACATAATTGTATAAATTGTGTTTCTGTTTGTATAAAGCGCGAGAAAATTGTATATACACATGCAAATACATATATATTCGTCCTATACACTTATGATTATACAATAAAAATATTCCCCTGCCCAAATTTATGTTTGTATAATGTATAATTTATGTTTGTATAAAGCGAAAGAGAGAGTGATTTTTGATATACAAATATTTTTGTCAACAATTTATACAAACGAGAGGCAAACAACAATTTATACAAATGGCTTGCCAGCGAAATTATACAAATCTGAAGAAGAGCCAACGAATCATACAATTGCTTCTTTTTGTATATATGTATAGCGAAATAAACAACTTTCAATTGTATATGCATAGCGAATTATACATATATATGTTTGCTATGGAGCGCAATTATGCAAAATTTGTTATAACATATAAATATAATTTTTTTGTTTGCTATATGTGAAAGTTGCTCAATAAATTAAGGTCTTAAATAGAATATTCTAGTGATTTTTCCTCAGATAAATATGTCAGTTCCCTCTTTATAGCACATGGCTTAACTCAGCCCATTACACATTGTCACCCATTGGGCCCAGAACGGGCCCATTGCGATTACACAAGGCCCGTAAAAATAGTGCCCGTTGTGGTGCATCGTATTGGGCTTAGTCCAATTCAATCTAATTTCTCCAAAAGGGCTAAAACCAATCTAACTTTCCTCCAAAATTTCTCTAGTCTCAACAGGTATGGCCTCAAATGTACAAGGATGTTAACTAAAAGGTCGGAATCAAATTTGAGCAGATTAAAATAAATTGACTTTATAAATAGATCATAACTTATAAATCGCTATGAACTGAGAAATAAATTGTGACTAAACTAGTTCAACTCAAAAGTTATTTATTTTAGTTAGCAATCTCAGGTTGCGTTGTATGATTGAATTGCTAGAATTTTGATTTATTACTTCACATCACATTGATATATACTAGTTTCCAACTTTTAAAGAACTTGTTTTGTCTTTTATTTTATTTAACAAAATTATTTATGAATATTAGTTTTGTGCTAACGTTATATTTCATTTATTGACCCAATCAATGCCGTATAAAATCAACCATTATATATATATATTTGAGTAATTTGGATTGTTGACGACTCAATGGACAAAGTGGTGCCACAATTATTTAATGAGATATTGGAAATTGAACATGGAAGTCAGAATTAGAAATTAATGCTACACTGAATTTTGTAGTAATATACATACCTAGTATTTATGACATTGTCTATTCATCTTGAGATTGTAACGCGCGTCAAGATAATCCCTACCAGGCCACATCAATAAGTTTCAGTTAACAAATCATGTTTATGTAATTCTCTGTTCATTTTTATTTATTCATTTTTTTTTATTAACACGAAATGTTCTGTGTACTGAGGTGACAACTTAATAATGTACTAAACTGAGTTAAGAGATGCTATAAAAAGAGCCCAAGTTTTCCTTCTTTAACCATTTGAAGTAATTCACAGCACATGTTGTATAAGGAGTAAGGACATAAAAATGGACTTAAAATGGCTAATTTAATAATTTCGTCAAAATCAAAAGATTGGAAAATAGTAGCAAGTTTGACCTCTTACCTCAATAGCGCCGTCTTCAAAAGTCGTAACTTTTCACTTTCATAGAAAATTTGCACAAACAAATTAATGTTTTCATAAATTCAATTGTGATTCTTTGTCAAACTAAGTAACTTAAACAAATTGTATAGTTATTCAAAGGGTTGGCATTGAGATACCTGACACGTAGCTTACGTTATGCGATGACCTGCTATCACTTGTTGAAACATATAAAGTTCTATTAATTTGGATTTACGTCAAATATAACATATTTGGAAGTAACATTTTTTTTTCAAGATTTTTCATTACTTAAAATTCAAAATTAGTTTTAATTTAATTAAGAAAAGAACAGCATGGTAGGTGAAAAACAACACTATTATTAGTCATGCCGGAGTGAATTCCGTACAATTTTTTCTATAAACGTTTTCCGAATGATCTATGTCACGTATAGCATATGAATATATTATGCTAGCTACTTAATAGGTTTTAAGTATTTATATTTATATAACAATCTCAAATTACTATGCAATAATAACTAATATTACAATTAAATATTTAAAAGTATTTAATAGATATTTTACTATATGGAGGGTATGATCAAAACTTATTGAATTCAAAATTGAGTTCTGATTTTTGTATGATCAAAACCTAATACATTGGATCAACCGATGATCATTTGAGCCTGTTTGAATTAGTTGATTGTAAATAATTGATAAATTATATGGGTTGAAATTAATTATAAGTTACAAATAAAAAATTATGTAGTTGTGTTCGGATAGAAGTATTAAAACTATATTAATTGGTTTGTTTGATAGAAAAACAGTACTGATTAATAAATTGCTCTTTTATTTAAATGACTAAATTTTCCTTACTTTTAAAATGTATTCGTTTAAAAATAACAAGAAAAGGAGAAACAACAATATAGCGTCAAGAGAAAGTTAGGTGTTTTAGAATTTAAAAACTAATAAGAAAATATAAAATATTTGGTCAAATCAAAAAATAATAAATATAAGCTCAAAACACATAAAATAAGGATTGATATAGCAGCTTTAGACTTTTTTTAGTGATTATAATTCATAAACACTTTGGTATTTATCAAATGAAATAGATAAATTAAAATCTGTTTATAAAACTAATTTTTAAGTTTGCGTGACTTCACATGATGTGAATCCAATTATTGTCGCACTCTATATATTAATTTACACGAGTTGATTAATATAAATCGCACCAGTAAATTATTCGAATTTAGTTAGAAATAACAAAAGAATAGAGATATAAATAATAATAACATAACTAATGTAATTCGACTAAAGAAAGAGATAATGAAGTAGTAAAATATTTTAAGAGATAAGTGTTTGGTTATTAATCTCTCTACTAATACACTTTAATTAGCAATCCAATTACTTAATGATCGGATAAACGTTACGAAGTCATTCAAAAGAAAAAATAACCCAACATTTACTCCTCTTTTTTCTCATTGAACTATGGAATCAATAAAAGGAAGAAAGACCGAAACGGTTCCCATCGGAAAATGGATATCATCGCCGTCGAGGAACACAGAAACGGCCATTTTTTAAAATCTATTATATATATATATACACAACTTCAAACAAAGAGAAATTTTCATTTTTCAAATCAATTCTTAATTATTTTTTTCCGATGGAGAAGCACTAAGTAAGACTACTCTTGCCGGGACGATCAGCAGCTTGAAGAGTTTTGTCGATGAGCTTACGAGCCTTTTTGCTTCGGATCTCCACTCTAACGCTGGAGCTTTTGTCCATTTTGACGTAGGGTTTCTTCGATTTCTTCAGCTTCCTCACCTTCGATTTTATCGATTCTACCAAACTCTCCAATTGAATCGCCATTGTTGGAGAAGAAATGGAGGAGACAGAAAATATTGAATGATTTACCAAATCAATCTCTGCTATTTATGGATTTTTCCGTTGCTGTTTTGCGCTATTTTGACTTGACTACACACACCTTTCTTAAATAAAAAATAAATGCCCCTTTTTCCTCCAATTATTACTCTTTTCTGCCACTCTAACTAAACAAGTTTTGATTTATTTATTTAGGCAGGTTTGGTCCTCGGATAAGGATAAAAATTTCGGAATAAATTTGAAATTAATGTCATTTTATATCTTTATTAATTAATTTAAATTATTTATATTAAAATAGTGATATATATATATCCCTATTTAACAAAGAGTAATTTGATCAAAATACTTCCTTTTTTCCTAGTAAGAATTATTAGCATTTTCTTAAGAGGTTACGTGGACATTTATTTTGAAGCAAATATACTGCATAAGACACCATCATGAAAATGTAAAAAGCCTTTGTAGTGCTAATTGTATAATTACAGCTTCAAATAGTAAGTAAATGTGCCACCCGACAAGTTGATGAAGATTTTAGGTGTTGTTCTAGTACATACTAATCCAATTGATGTGAATGCTTCTACTGTCTCAGGGAAATGGGAATGCAATATGGTCAATTTTGGGTTACACAAAGAAAATCCAACTCTAAATTTACCAGTATATGTCAGCATGCACTAAGGTATGACAATTTACATGTCCTTCTAGTCGCTAGTCCATATTAAGTGAATTGTTAAAATATGACATAAATTCCTTAAAGATTATTGCAGAACACAATTTTTAAATTCTACTTTTCACTATTTGATTATTTCCAAACTACTGTACTGGAAAATGTAAAGTAATTAAGAAATAAATACAAAACAAAGTCTCAATAATTATCTTAAACTTTGAAAAAAAAATCTCAACAATCCACTTAATATGGACTAAGAGGGAGTAATAATTAGTGAAAAATCAAGTAAGATGAATTATCTACTAGAGATGCTTAATACAAATTTCATTAATGGTACATTACTTGGTGGCTAACAAATGCAATCCGATTCCTGTCACGCATTAGACAAAGTACAATCAAACAAATAAAGTTCCACATGCTTATGTTGTCTAGATATTTAACAATTCCTCATAGCAAAAACATCAAAAAAGGTTCACAGCTAGGAACCTTCATTTAGACATAATTGCTGACAACTCTTAAAAGTGAATGTCTCTAAAACATAAAATAATGAAATGACACGAATGATCACATGGTCATTTACTAAATAATTAGAATTGCAAGTCAACACACAGGTCAGGCATGCAAAACACATTCCATCCATGGCAGAGTTTTTTAAAACTTTAAAGTTGAACAACCAGCAACCAGAGATAGTAATATTAAAATAGAGATCTTTCCAAGACTAATTGACTAATGACTCTATCTACACTCCACCACTTAAATTAAACATTCAGAATAAACCTCCCCTAGTTATAGTCATTCTTACAACACAACTGCAGAAAAGTCTATATTATAGCAGACAGAAAATTTAAATAGAACCTGATGTACACAAGAACAAAATTATACACAGACAGCCCCTAAATATGAATCAAAAGTATCAAATAAGAACACTTTATCATGTGTTCAAAGAGCTCAATTGGAACAAGTTTGAGTGTCTAAATAAAAAGTATATAGAGCAATCAGTGTATTAGGCCTTAATTATATTACAATCACATAATGGCCTAAAAAACTAGCTGAAGCTTCCTGTAAAATTACTACATTGAAATGAGATACGAAAAATATGTATAAAACAAAAATAATTGATAACTGCATTTCAAGGAGATCAGGTCAATTAATTATATTATATCATACTGAAGAAAAGTTTAGACAGCGAACTGCAGAAAAGTAAGCAACGAAGACAAACTTAAAAAATGAGGACTTGAATGTCATCACTCACCACTCATGTAGCAATTTGACTTTTCAAAACCGTCCAAGAGTTGGACAAAAATAATTTGTGGAATTCAATACCACCAGATTTTCACTTGAGATTACAAAGAAAAGTCAGCTGGGCAAGTTCAGAAGTATTGTGTCAAGGATGATACACTGGGCTTTCCCAAGTGGATTGAGGGTGAGGCCAGACATAACAAAGCGAATGATTGATCATTATCCTTTATTTTTGATCCTTCACTTCTGAATTCCTTTAATAGTGCTAACTTGCTGCTTTCTTGGGACCCCTCAGCATATGAACCCTACCTAAAACAAAAGGATTCATCTACATAAGTATCTAAATAGGTGAGAGCATGTAAATCTGATCATACAACTTAGCCTCTTCAGCTAATGATCAACGGTTTAATCCAGAGTAAGGGCCAGGAAGAAACTTAATTCTCAGTAACCAAAGCACTAAATCAGAAATCCTGTAACTGCAATTTTGTCTTTTTTGATGTAGCAAAGATGAGAAAGATTCACCATAGTTAGCATATACAATCATGTGGAATAAAAAAAAAAGAACCATAACCATACACTGACAGAAATCTTGAGAGATCAATTAAACCTTTTTCAGTGTAAGTTGAAGATGATGGATCCACAAAAGAATGAAAGAAATCCTAACTGAAAAGTGAAAACTTTATTGAACCCTTTCAAACAAGACCATCAAACTGAATTTGACTGAATCAATCCAAATGTTTTGAAGCAGCACAAATATTACTTGCCTGCAAGTTTGCTAGACCTTCAATAACTCCTGGTCGTCACACCACAACATTAATGCTGACAAAAGTGCCACTGTAGCAGTTTCAACTCGTAGACGATGTGGTCCAAGACCAACAGAAGTTGCCCCAGCCTCAAGAATCACGTTTAACTCTCTCTCTGTGAAGTCTACAATGGAGCGTGTTCACAATAATTACATACAGCAGAAAAGAAAATTATAAATTATATATATCTGAATGTTGTATGTAAGATTGTCTAGCATCCACAAGTTTTTCTATAGTTTTGGTTCCAAATCCTTTTATCATAATTGTTGTTCACCACTCTTGAAGGACTCTTACATCTGGATAATGAGGACAAAACAAGAGGATCTAAACCCACTTCAGCTTGCAAGATTGGACTGGTGCACCCATAAGCAATAGTAAAAGCACCACAACATGTAAAGCCAAATCATCATAAAACAAACTATGTATTGTACAAAGTAATTCATGTAGTGTGAGAAAGATAAATAGAGTTTGTGGTTAGAGTTAGGGTGGTGTATGGATGGAGAGTGTTGTTCTGGCATAGCAAAGTGGATATTGGAGAATGGAGCAGGAGGTTGCATGGGTAGGAGGGTTGCATGGCCTGCTGAAGCAAAAGGGTTAGCATTGGCAATAAATTTTTTTCTTTTCAATTATTGTCTCTCTTCTTATTTCCTTTATACTACTTTTTTCCTTTCCCACTCTTGAGAATTTATATAGAATCGACATTATGGGTACTCTGCCAGTTTTTTGGATAAAGATGAGTATTATACTAGCTTCAAAGGATTCTCCTATGTCTTGGATTAGAAAAGCATCTTTAGAAGTTTAAGGCCAAATGAGCTTTAACACATAAATTATCCAAAACTGGAGCTTCACATACAAACAGAGCCTAGTTTAATAAGTCATCTACCCAAAGATGATTACTTTTACTCTGTAAAAATGTTCAGGCATTTCAGTTTCAAAAAAAATAAAACGTTCGGGCATATATGATTCCTTACACATATCATCAGCGTTCTGGGCAATGGACTTCTTCAGATAATCAAATAGTTGACTTATGACCAACAAAAATATCATCAGTATAAAGGCACAAAATCTTGGGCATAGACTGGATGAGAAGGAAAACCTGCAGAAAGATACTAACCTCCTTCTGGTCCAATTATCATCAGTCCAGCTGATTCTTTTTTGATGGAACTTAAAGCACTAAATAATGGTTTAGCTTCTGCCGTGGCAATAAACGAAAGCTTTGAATTTTTAACCTAGAGCATAAGTGGCACCACAAAACAAAGAAAAGAAAAATGAGCAAGTTCTGCAGAGAGAAAGAAGTGCAAATAGTCTTAAGAGTCTCCTATATGCTGTTCGCTTTGAAATTTTTTTTTACTTTGTGGGAGGAAATTAGAAAAACTAACTTACAAGAGGTAAAAGTCCACCAATTTTTATAGGAGGATTTAGAACCATTTCATGCAGCCGTTGGCCTAAAACAAAATGTTGTTAATGTCAAAAACATAACCCACGCACCCACAAAGAAAATTAGTGCACAAAAGAAATTTTGTATCAGAGTGAAAAAGCTTACATTGTTTAGCTGCAGCAAAACTGACACGTTGTAATCTATCCACACGATTTTCTGATATTGAAGGAGACCGGTCCGTCAATAAGGGAGTCACACTACAGGCTCCTAGCTCCTGTGACCATCAGACAAAGAGAGTGAACAAAAAAGTTGCTGAAAGCTTCTGGAGAGACAATTTTTCACATGGGCAATTCAGACATACTGTACATTTCTCCACAAGCCAATCAGCCCGACCTCCCTTCAGAGTACCTACATTACAGGAACTTAATGCACATTATGCAAGGCAAGAAAAATGATCTACAAATAACACCACCCACAATGCTCATTAGCACTCACCAAATGCAGCAAAGACATGCCACTGTGTGTTATGTGGAGATACTGCATTTGGATTCTCGAGAGCCACAATATCCAATCCATTCTGATCAATGTTCTGTATACAACCTTCAACTAATCCTCCTTTTCCATCAAATAGTTCTACCCTTGCAAATTGGGCATCATGAATAGGTGAAATTAACTCAGTACCATTGTTAAAGAATTATATAGAACCACAGGCAACAACTATATTTCTTATTCTAGGACAACCCTTCCGGCTTATGTTAAGATGGAAATCAACAACTACTTGTTGAAAATCATATCCTTCATAGAATTGACAGATCTAAAATCTACATTACGAAAACCCAAAGTGGACAACCAGATTGAGAATCGGGAAAGCCGGAAAGGGAATACAAAAGGCTTCTAAAAGATAATAGGGCGTTGGCGAATTTAAGGCACCATTCACATTCCTTATTCAAAATAAAGCATCAATTCAGATAATACTTTTAAATAAGCCATTCTCATAGTTCGCAACTATTGCATATTTAAACTACGCACATTTAAGACAGATAGATACTACTCGTGAACAATTTCTAGGACACATAATTGTATATCACTGGTAACCATCCAAGATATGTTGTGAGGCAATACCTATCATGAATTGTCAACCTTAAGACCCTAGTCATGTGCCAGAATTCATCACCTTTAACACGAACAATGCCATCCTGCATTCTCAAAAACCATAAATACACCATAGCTGAGCCTCTTAAATCATCTGGTCTGAATACAATAACAATAATGCTAGAGCAAAAAAAGAACACAACTACCCAAGTCTAAACTAGTTGGGGTCGGTATAAGATCCTCATTATCCACTCCGCTCTATCTTAGACTAATTTGATTTCAAATTACCTATGTCAACTTCGGATAATGGGTATTCAGTATGATAAAGACAGTTATAACATCAATTGGTTGTATAACAAACCCAACCCCGTTCTTTTCTCAATAAAATCAATACCCCATTCTTGAAAAACAGACATGCCTTAGAGGATAAATCAAGAACCCCATTCTTTTCTCAATAACCGGTTTTCAGTATGATAAAGACAATTATAGCATCAAGAACCCTCTAAATTGTTCCCCCAAAGTAAACGACACTGCAAGAATTTCAGTTTATCGGTTGACAACAGTCAAATTACACGCAAGAAAGTTCGAATGTTTCTTGCAGAATTAATTAGTTGTATAACAAACCCAACCCTGTTCTTTTCTCAATAAAATCAAGACCCCATTCTTGAGAAAAGAAAAAAAAAATCAAGAAAAGTAGTAGGGAGATAAGAAAATAGACATTGCCTTGGAAGGAGGAAGCTTATCGGAGTAGAATCGGGGAAGGCCACCGCGAGACTGGTTAGAAGAAGAAGAAGAGAATGCCCGCAAACTGTTTGTTGTTTGACGTGAACGAGACAACAGAATGACTAGCCGAGGACTTAAAACAGAGGCTTGCATTTTGGTCTCAAACAATAAAATCTCTGCGCGGGTACCTTTATATTCGTTTTTCCCTGATGATTAGTGTGGAAAAATAATTAATTCTTTTATTTTAAGGGTCGTTTAGTTTGAAGACAAATTATGATGGGACAAGTTGTGATGAAATTAGTTATATTAAGATTATTTTTTATTGATTGTTTGGTTTGTCAAATATGCATGACATAATTTCTAAGAACACGTTGTGTATTTACAAAAATACCCTCTAAGAATAAGTTTGTTTATAAAAGAGGGTTTAAGGAGGTAATTTTGTTATTTTACATTTTTATTCCGGGATAACTTATTTCGAGATTAGTATTCCACCCATAAGTAGGGATAACTTATCTTAGTCATAATTATTAATCCTGGGATAAGTTATCCCACACTTTGTAACCAAACAAAAAATTGAGGAGTACTAAAAAGTTATCCTCAAATTATTTTTCTTTATCCATCACACCAAATGACCCCTAAGAGAATGAACTTATTAGTCCATCAGTTTAAAAAAAAATGACATATTTTTCTTTTTAGTCAGTTTAAAAAAGGACCATTTTCCTTTTTTGGCAACAATTTAATTTTAACTTTTCATGTAACATGTTAAAACCACAAGATTAGAGAGCATTTTGGTAAATTTTAACATAAGTTTAATTTAAAACCACTAGATTAAAGTGCATTTTAATACATTTGACATAACTTTAATTTACGACCACAAGATTAAAAAAATTTCTTTATTTTCTTAAATTCCATGCCAAATCAAACCAAGTAAATCTTTTTTGAAACGGATGGAGTATAATTTTTCGTTGAATGGAATGATTGAGTTTTTAAATATTAAATGCTAAAACCATTCTAAGTGGTTTTAACAAGCTTACTAAGAAGTTTTATAAGCTAAAACAATGAGATTGCTTCTAAAGTATTATTGCATTTAAAACTGAGAAAAAACTCAAGTATGTTACTGAATTATCATAAATGGTTTGAGCATTCATCTGTTAATATTTTTGAGCCTTTTTTTATCATTGTTGTGATACAATGTGGACATTCATGCCATCTTTACTAACGACTTAGATAGCCATTTAAAAAAACAACTAGGTTTCGACACATGGCCTTCCACACTTATTTTGCCATATAAGTGTTTCGCCACTAATCATCCGCTCTTATAAATAGTACAGTAAACAACAAATAAACACAATAAATTAGATTTGATCAGACAATTTATATGTATAACCGATCTTATATAAAAAAGGAGGACTTGAATGTCATCACTTACCACTCATGTAGCAATTTGACTTTTCAAAACCGTCCAAGAGTAGACAAAAATAATTTGTGGAATTCAATACCACCAGATTTTCACTTGAGATTACAAAGAAAAGTCAGCTGGGCAAGTTCAGAAGTATTGTGTGAAGGATGATACACTGGGCTTTCCCAAATGGAGTGATTCTTTTTTATCCTTCACTTCTGAATTCCTGTAATAGTGGTAACTTGCAGCTTTCTTGGGACCCCTCAGCATATGAACACTACCTAAAACAAAACGATTCATCTACATAAGTATCTAAATTGGTGAGAGCATGTAAATCTGTTATACAATTCAACCTCTTTAGCTAATGATTAACGGGTAATCAGGAGTCGGGGGTCAGGACGAAACTTAATTCTCATCAGTGTCCTGGACAATTGACTTCTTCAGATGATCTAAAAGTTGACTTATGACCAACAAAAATACCATCAGTATAAAGGCACAAAACCTTGGGCATAGACTGGAAGAGAAGGGAAAGCTGCAAAAAGATACTTGCCTCCTTCTGGTCCAATTATAATCAGTCCAGCTAATTCTTTTTTGATGGAACTTAAAGCACTGAATTCTGGTTTAGCTTCTGCAGTGGCAATAATTGAAAGCTTTGAATTTTTTACCTAGAGCAGATGTGGCACCACAAAACAAAGATGAGAAAAATGAGTAAGTGCTGCAGAAAGGAGTGTTAGAGCCTCCTATATGCTGTTTGCAAAGCTTGAAAAGATTTTATTTTGTGGGAGAAATTAGATAAAACAACTTACAAGAGGTAAAAGTCCACCAACATTTATAGGAGGATTTAGAACCATTTCATGCAGCCGTTGGCCTAAAACAAAAATGCTGTTAATGTCAAAAACCTTCACAAGCACTCACAAAGGGAATTTGTGCACAAACTACATTTTGTATCAGCATAAAATTGCTTACATTGTTTAGCTGCAGCAAAATTGACACGTCGTAATCTGTCAACACAATTTCTGATATTGAAGGAGACCGTTAAGTCAGAATAATACTTAAAGAAATTAGCAAACTATCAGAGTTAAACAGTTCCACTTCACCTGATCAACGAGTACGCCATTATGCTGCCTAACTTTATCAACCACCTCTTGAGTTGCAGCTCTGCCCAAATTGCTAATTGACTTACATGCCACAAGAAGTGGATACATAAGGAGCCTGCAGATAAGGTCCACAAATATTAGAATTTGAAAAAGTAGTATATAAAGGCAGCCACAAGAAGATAGAAACATACAATAATCTCACTTGCTCAGAACAAGAAATAAAGTCTTTTAGTATCTGACCACTAAAACAACTTACAAGCACATGCCACGATACTTTTCTCCTAACTTGAACACAATGGTATGAATACCCTCTAAGGCTTTCTGCTTTCACTTATTTTCGGTTAAGTTCTGGTAACTATGTACTCCCAGCATTCATTTATTTGTATGTGCATGTCCATCTTAACACTTTTCCCAGATACAACAGATATACAAAACACCTACCGTTATAGTAGACTGCACATTGTTATGTTTGTCCTAGTACTTCCACATAGACAGATTTTATATCAACTAGGTTATTACACATAGAAACCTTATGGGAAGAGAATGTCGTCTCCTCTGTTTAGATTCATTTCCACTTATAATATATCTTCATTACGCTTATAAAGCTTAATAAATAATGTCAAAATGCAGTTGGCTAAATGTTACATGAACTTACCCTAGGGGACTAAGAAACGATACACACACACACACACACACACAGCCTATCTTGAAGAGAATAGATTTGCATTAGCCTAAGATGACAACACCACCCCCTCAATCCCAAACTAATTAGGGTTGGCGGTATAAACTGAACGGGCTCATAATTTTCAAAAAAAATAAAAATACAGCGGAACGTTCAGGCACTCTTCACATGTTTCATATAACTGATAACACAAACTACTTGACTAACTGTAGACTTGTAGAAATTGACTATGACAGCTCAGCCATGAATCTTTCATAGCAATTAGCAGGTCTTCCTGTTTTAACAGTTTAAGAATGGTCAGTCTATGTTCGCTTATAAGGTGGTCAGATATCAAACAAATTAACCAAATAATAGTAGATAGAAACACATGCCATTTGCAATTAGGTGTTAGAAGAGAAATTTAGAGGGACAAAGTACAGGGTGGGGAATGAATGTCGAGGAAAACAGTGATGATAGATAGCAAAATCATAGTTCTTGTTTTTCTATTAAAAGAAAAAGACTAGCAAATACCTCTGGATGACTCTGTCCAATTCGCACTAACAAGGACTGTATCAGTTCTCTGACAGCATGGTTATTTGAATGTATCCGTGCGATAATCTGAGGTAAAACAACCAACCATGTGTGAATCCTTTCTGTAATGCCATTTGGACCTCAGAAGTAGCTCCATGGTTGAACCACAAAGTAAGAAGACGAAGAATATCCTGAAACCTGGAAGCATGACCATAGTAAAAGTAGATCAATAATATAATGGAAGTTAATGGTGATCACTAATGAATCTAACAGGGTTGCTGGATAACCGGGCAATTATGACACTGATGAAAATTAAATTCAACACAATACATGAATTCAGTTAGGAGTATGAGTTTCATTGGGTAAACAAATGTTTTCATCTTGAGAAACATGTGCACAGATGCAAAATAAATTGGATAGAAATTGTAGAGTATGCGGGACACGTTTGAAAGACGCATGAGCTTAAAATATAGCCAGAATCCAGCAAGAAAAGGGACACTATGTCAGTGCAAGGATATGAAGTGCTAAGCAACCAGTAAGCTCAATAAGAAAGACATTTAGCGACAAGGACAAACCAGTGACACATCAACATCACACAAGGTAGTCTTTTACCAACTGAATTAAATTAGCTGTAGATTCAGATATAACCTGTAAACTATCATCAAAGCCCTTAGCATGTGCTCCACAAGCTATAGAGTGAAAATAACCAGTTACGGCAGCAACAACAAACTGTGCAGCAATATTCGCAAAACTTGATCCATGTTTCTATATCTTCTGTAGGAGGCAATACAAGTGCCCTCACAGCTAAAAGTACTTGCCAGACCTGCAAAAAATAAGAATATGTTGCAGATAACAGAGGCAGAATGCTCAGAAAAATGATCTGCCAAAAGAATAAGAACTTATAACTCAGAGTGAGAGAGAAAGAGAGCATGGAATCACATAAAGACAGGAAAAAGACCAGACAGACGGAGTTTCTGTAAGACACCATGAGTTTGAGAATAAATACAAAGGCCACACAACTAGTCACCCAGCTCTCATGTAAACGTTTCCGGATTGAAAATATCAAAAAATAATGATAGGACAACCAAAATGCAACTAACTCACTGAGGGAAGTTCTGAAATTTACCTCAACATTTCTTTTTGCACCCTTTATGCGCTCATTCCACATATTGCAAACAAGGGCTCTTCTTCCTTCAGCAACAGGGTTTCCCATAGGAGGAAGAGTACAGTACTCAATGACCTAATTAGAATGAGATGAAAAAGAATTCACAGATCATTAAAAATCACAGCAATTAGGAATCACTTAATTGAAAAGGCTAAAAAATATGTCACCTCTTCTAATACAGAGAGCTGCTGTTGCGGTAAGCACATTCAAAGCTCCCAAGAACCTAGATGAATTAAAGGAGAATTGTCAAGAATTTTGCTATAAACTCCGGTATAAGTCATCAAATGAGTATAAAATGTGAG